GACAACGCCATGATCAACACCTTGGCTGGTCATACTTCTGCTCTAAGGGCTATGCCAGTGAATGTGATTGCAAACGCATACCAGATGACGGCGGAACAAGCATGGAGCTTGAAGTTTAACAGGAAGGAGACGGTGATGTTCAGCCCGAGGTCGAGGTCTTCCGGGAGGTCTATTGCTGCTTAAGCTCTTGGTGTAGAAGAGTGCGGCCGTTTGTATGTTTTTTTAGGGTTTCTTCGATATGGAATAAGGAGAGATGTAAGGTGGTTTATAGTTTTTAAGGACTTAAATTCCATCCATCGATGTAAGAAAAATAATAATAAAGAGTTTTTTTTTATGGTATTGAATAGATGATCATGTCACCTACGGTTATCGAGTTGAGTTTATTTCCCAGTACAAGCTGTTCTTTAAAATCATTCAATTCATAAAATCTTATCTTCTATTCTAATAAAGTTTTTTTTTTTTTTTTTTTTTTTTTTTTTTTATATAATTATTTGTAACATTTTTATTTAGTTTGTTAAATTTAATTTGGTAAATGTATTTTTTTTTAAATTATTTAATTTGCTAAACGTCATGGTTATTTTAAATTAATTTTTTTCACATTTCATTTTATATTCATTTTATAAAAGTTTTTCTGTTTTTTAAAATTTCATATAACATTTTAATATAATAATTACAATTATAAATGTAGTAATAAATAAATATCAATCTTTAATAAACTAACATTTTAATTTAAAAATTCTGAGATTTTATAAAAGTTTTTCTGCTTTTTAAATTTTATATAATATTTTAATATAATAATTGCAATTATAAATATAATAATAAATGAATATTAATCTTTAATAAACTAACATTTTAATTTAAAAATTCTTAAAATCAAAGCTCATTGGTTTTTTTTTTATTTCTTTAAATTTAAAAGATAAAAAAATATTTTTATTATGATAATTTATTATCTTTTTTATATTTTAATAAATTTAAAGTTCTTAGACTTTTATATTTATTTATTTTTTTAAATTAACTAATGCAATATATATATATATATATATATATATATATATATATATATATATATATATATATATATATATATATATATATGTTTCCCAACTAGTTTTAATATTTAGCGAATAATTTTCTATGAGAAACATAAGAAAAATCTTGTTTTAACAGCTACAAGATGAATTCTCTCATTTTAGTATTTTACCGTATATTACGAAAATATCAAATGCGGATCTACACTAAGTATTCAATTTACAGAATACATGTCATATAAAATATATTTGAACATTTTTTTTGTATTTACTGATATTTCAAAATTTTTACTTTTTTTGAAATATTATCATGTAAAAACATATCCAAAATAGGAAAGAGAATTTTAGTATCGACAGTACCAAAAGCAAAAAATGAATTTTGCCGGAGCCGACTACCGAATGAATAGGTACCGTTACATGTACTTTACCGATATTTTGGATGCAAACAACTAAGGCACTATAAAAGTCTGCCTTACAACAAAACATAAAAATAAATTCTCGACTCTGAGATGAAATTAAGACAACAAAGAACACATAGCAAATGGGATCGGTAAAATCTTAGTTTATATGAAAGAATGATGAGTATTCAAAGTTGAGAGAAAATTTTCGTAAAAAAAAACTACCAAGTTTGAAAATTTTAAGTTTTTCAAGTACCATATTATAAGCTTTGTAACTTAGGCTAAACTTATGCAAATCAGTTTATTCTTTAGCCTAACATGTATCCAAAACAGAGAATATAACACAAAAGGAAAAATCAGTATAATCTGAGTTTATATTATATGAGAGAGTTATGAATGTTAAAAGTAAGGAAAAATTATATCCATGTAAGAAAATAGAAAATAATAAAATGATAAAGTCTGGAAATATTTGATTTTCAATTATCCATGTTTAAGGTTATATAACTAGAGTTGTATTTAAGGATATATAACTAGAGCTGTATTTATTCAAACAAGTTGATTCATTAGCCTAACATATAACCAAGAAAAAAAATTATAAAAAAAAAAAAAAAAAGATTTTGGAAGAAGAATCCATCTAATCCAACTTTATATGATAGGTATTCAAAGTTGAGTAAAAAATTTTGCAGGAACTAGAAATAAAAGATGACCAAGTTTGAAACATTTTCAAGTATTCATGTTCAGGGCTATATATTTCGAGTTATATTTATTCAAATAAGTCGATTCTTGAACCTAACATGTAGCCAAGATAGAGAAAAAAAAAATGAACTTAATCTGAGTTCATATAAAAGAGTTATAAATATTGAAAATTGATTAAACATAATAATATAAAGATAAAATTTGATACCGGTATTCAATTGTACCTTGTATCGAATTGTACCATGACCACGAGAGTACCATACCAGATAACACCAATAACTAAAAAAATTAGACATTTGAGGAACCAAATACCTACCCGGTTAATGATATATAATTTGGTTCGGGACCATTATTAGTATATGTTCGGTACTAACAACGTTCTTGCTCACCCTGTTTTGTTCCCTAGTTCCTTTGTAAACATGGGGCTATTTTGATACCTTTTGTAAAAATGGGGTTTTGTCCTCGCTAAATCACCAAAATACTTGGGCATATTTGCAATACTGCTATTAATTTCAATATAATAGCAAAGTATATACCAAAATGTATTTTAATCATATATTATAGTTTATTATGTTTTATGCTTTCTTGAATTATTGCCTTTTAACTTTGGAGATCGATTTTGTATTTATTAAATTTAAAATTTGATTTATTCGTGTTGGTGCTTATACCATATAAGATCATTTTATTTATGAAAAATAAATACTAATGCTAATGGGTAGGACCCACAAATCAACACCAATCAAGAATGGCTACTTTGTTTGAATGGAAAACAATCATATTATTTTTTTAAATCCAAGTAGCAAAAGGTCGCCATGGACTGATATCAGGTGGTTAATAAAAGTAAACCAACACATAAGTTCATGTTTACATTCCGTATTCCGTACTCATGACTCAAAAATTATAACGTTAGACAACTTTAATTTCAAGGGAGTGATGAAGGTTTTAGGGAAAAGTACAATAAAGTCCCTACATATTAGTCTCATAATCGATTTAATCCCTATATATTTTTTTTATGCAATTAAGTCCCAAATACCGGTAATCGTATTCAATTTAATCCTTTGACCCGGTCAACAGGTCATCCAACTTTCAAAAATTACATTTTTGGCCCAGATTTCAAAATTTATTACAAATTTGGTCCAAAATTTACACTTTTGGCCCGGATTTTAATTTTTTTTTACAAATTTGGTCCAAACTTTACCTTTTTTGCCCAAATTTTAGAATTTTATTATGAATTCATCCTAATTTTAGTTTTTTTGCAACTTTTTTTTTCAAAAAATTGTTTCTAATATGTTTTTTCTTTATAAAATCATATTTATACCAAAAAAATGTATTTTCACATAAAAATCTTATATTTTCTATATAAAACTTTTTTTAAAAAGTTTTTTGTATATGAAATATCTATTTATAAAAATATGTATTTATTTAGTATATAAATATATATAAATTTGTTTTTATAAAAAAATGTATACACACCTATCACCTTTATATATATATATATATATATATTATATATATATATATATATATATATATATATATATATATATATGCACACAAATAGGTGTGTATCTATATTTTTTTATAAAATCGTGTTTGTTTATATTTTTTTTATAAAAACGTGTTTGAATAATTTTTTATATAATACGTGTTCGTATACATTTTATAAAAACGTGTTTAAATAAGTTTTTATATAATACGTGTTTGTATATATTTTATAAAATCGTGTTTGTATACATTTTATAAAATGTATACAAACACGTATTATATAAAAAAAATATTCAAACATGTTTTTATAAAAAAAATATAAACAAAAACGATTTTATAAAAAAAATAGATAAAATAGGTGTTTGTATACATTTTTTTTTCATAAAAACGGATTTCTATATATTTATATACTTAATAAATACTTATTTTTATAACTAAATATTTCATATACAAAAAACTTTTTGAAGAAAGTTTTTTTATAACTAAATATTTCATATACAAACACGATTTAATAAAAAAATATAGATACACACCTATTTGTGTGCATATATATATATATATATATATATATATATATATATATATATATATATATATATATATATATATATATAAAGGTGATAGTGTGTGTACATTTTTTTATAAAAACAAATTTATATATATTTATATACTAAATAAATACATATTTTATAACTAGATATTTCATATACAAAAAACTTTTTAAAAAAAGTTTTATATAGAAAAATAAGATTTTATGTGAAAATACATTTTTTTTGGTATAAATATGATTTTATAAAGAAAAAACATATTAGAAACAGTTTTTTGAAAAAAAAAGTTGCAAAAAAACTAAAATTAGGATGAATTCATAATAAAATTCTAAAATTTGGGAAAAAAGGTAAAGTTTGGACCAAATTTGTAAAAAAAAATTAAAATCCGGGCAAAAAGTGTAAATTTTGGATCAAATTTGTAATAAATTTTGAAATCTGTGCCAAAAATGTAATTTTTGAAAGTTGGATGACCTGTTGACCGAGTCAAAGGATTAAATTGAATACGATTACCGGTATTTGGGACTTAATTGAATAAAAAAAATATATAGGGATTAAATCGATTATGAGGCCAATATGTAGGGACTTTATTGTAGTTTTATATAATAAGTATTTATATTAAATTCGAATTTCAGCGTCTTTCCAGGATTTGAAAGATTTCACTTTTACGATGGAATTTCGTTAATATTATTAAATGATGTGTGAACAATAGTGCAAAAATAACAAAAAAATGTGATTTTTGTTTTAAACAAACTATAGACATGTGGTTTGGCAAGTGGCAAGTGGCAAGTGTGGAGTGTGGACTAGAGGCGATAACAAAATTTACAAAACGGATATATAAGGGTAAGTTTGTCCAAAACAGAAAGGCTAAATAGTACTGAGAGAGATATAGATAGAGAGGATCTATTTTTGAAGATAGAGACAAGCGTTTCGAGAAAGGCAATTCAGTAAGCACAAGTCACGAGGGTAGAAGGATGAGACCACATTCCCTTCTTTGCCCAAACAAGTCGCCAATGTCAGATCCCAAATCTCACTTGCTCTGCAAATCAAGTTAATCTTTTGTTAGCTTCGCTTCATCAAACCACATCCTGCACTTTTTCAAAGAAGATGAAGAAACATCCTTCAATACCCACTTCACTTCTTCTTCCTGCTGTTGTTCTTATGTTGTTTCTTGCTCCAATCGTAACTCAATCGGTTGCTCGGCCAGGCTTCGTCTACACCAGAACTAGAGGAAGATGCACTCCACAGTATGCTCTCCCTCTCTCTCCAAATGAGTACAAGTTTGTTTTTATTTTTTTTATTTTTTATTTTTTTTCAGTAAGATGAATACAGTTAGAAATCATGAAATTTTCAAGTATCGATGCTAATTGTAGCTTGAATCTCAGTCTAATGTCTTTTGAAATTAGGAGAATACAGAAACTCGTCGAAGATGATGCAACTTGTAACTTGAATCTTAAACGTATATAATTTGAGATTAAGAAAGTAATGAAACTCATGAAATTTTAAGCTTCGATGCTAGTATTTTGAATCTCAACTCGTTTCAAGTTAAATCAAGGAGTCTCATGCTATTTATGAAAAATAACTTGGGAGTATATGAAAACGAGTTGAATCGGACGCGTATGTTGCATTGTCTGGTTTAACTCACTAACACAAAAGGAACAAAATCGGAAGTACCGGTATGAATACTTCGTAATGGGGAGGAAATTTGCAGGTATTGGAGCAGCCGGCGAGAGGCGTGGCCGAGGATGATACCACAGGGATCGTCGGTTTCAAAGGTTTTCGGATCTAGAGCTTACGAGCGCTACCGATACGATCTGACGCTGTTGGAGGCGACGTCGAGGAATGACGACGGAGAAAACGTGTATGCTAGGCTTGTGAAGGAATCGACGGCGGCGTTGATCAACTCCTACACCAGGAAAGGGTACCCGTATAGCGCTTGGGAGGTGAAAACCGCCGTGATTCAGGGTATAGTCTCCGACGAGGCCGCGGCGGTTCAAGCCCAACGGTTCTACGACGCCAACCGAGCTTGTAATTAGTTCATTTTAAATTCTACTTTTTTATTTTGTTTTTTGTTTTATTTGTTTTTCTTTAACTATAACTATCTCGTAAATTGCAATTGTGGCCTTTTTCTTCTACCATTTGCTTCCATCAAAGTGTCATCGACTCAAAGCTTAGACCAAAATCGGAGAATGTGAGTCAAAATGGTTTGATCGGACAATATATCACGAATATTTTGCTATTTCAGAATATACATGATAAGTCCTCAAAATAATGAAAATATAGTGAGATAGAAAATTATTATCATTGTATTAAGGCTCAAGAAGTGTTGTCATACTTTCTATATTGTAATAAGGCTTGAGGAGTGTTGTGATTCTTTCTCATTAAACAGTATTGTCAAGTAGGCGTTAATTTATTTTTTACCATAAAAGTGTGGTGTCATAGTAGGGTCAAATTTAAAAAAAAAATTATAAATAAAAACTTTATTCTTTTTAAAAAAAGATAGTATTTCATTAATTAAAAATAAAATTACAATTACATTGCATAACTTTAGAAAAACATAAAAATTTAGAAAACCAAACTAGAAATATTAAACCTATAACTTAAAAACACACACATCAAACGATTGAAAATTAAAAAAAAAAAAACAAATTAGAAATTAAAAACGATTAGTGGAATGTTTTTTAATGTCCTCCTTTATCGCCAAAACAACTTGAAGTTCATCATCAGTCATATTCGATATGTCCATCGTTAGCACTCTCATGTCGTTGTCGTTTTGTTTCCGACCTCTCTATCTGAAGCAAGTTGTAAAAATTTATACATTCTATTTTTTATGTCTCGCACATTTTCGCTTATTTCTTTCAAGTCATTACGCTTCGACACTTTGCCATTTGTCCCTTCCCATCGGTAGGGAGGGTGGTGAAACTTCAATAGGCTCATCATCGTTGAGGTCGAAATGAACACGAACATCCGATGTAGTTTGATCGAATTTGGAAGTTCTTGACCGTTTTGAGCCACTATGGATGTACTCCTCGATTGTTTTTTTATTTTGCCATTTTTTGTTGTCTATGAGTAGATTCTAAACTTCAAAATATTGAAAGGCTTCTTTTGCTCTTTGTTGTAAATGTTAAACGATTTCTTCAAAATCACATCGTCACTCTCGCTGCTTTTCAATTGTCGTTTGACGATGTTATATAAATTGTTAAACAACATGATTTCTTTGTTCATCTTTTCCCATGTTGAGTAGACTTGATGCTTAGTACGATATGGTTCTACGTTCATTCATTTTTGGAACCAAGCTCTAAAGCGCATCCAAAACCGATCATGTTTTTGGTCTACTCCTGTCATCGGATCTTCTAAAACATCAATCCATGATTGTGCCAATAATAAAACTTCATAGGATTCTGATGGTTTAGCATCTGCCTTCTCTTTTCTTTTATTTTGTGGTCAAGCGGGTTGAGTTTCTTGAACAAATTCGGGTTCGGAATCGGAAATGGGTGTTTGTGGAAAAAATTCCAATTGAGAAACAAAATCAAAAGGATTAAAAGCCGTGTCAGGCTGTGTTTGTGTTTGTGGAAGTGGTTGTATAGGTCGTGGTGGTTGTGAGATACGTTGTAGATAGTAGGGAATCATTATGTCATAGTGTTAAAAAGGTGGCAAATAAATCGGTTGAGCCAATGAAGGTGGTGGGGTTGTAGTGTTTCTTGTGGGAGTTTTTTGGTTGGTAAGTTTTTTGGAAGATGACATTTTTGAAAGGTTTTTAAAAGAAAAAATATGGTAAAATATGAAGTTTTATGAGTTATTTTGATTAAAATGATTGTGTATTTATAGTGTTAGTAAAAAAATTAATTTTTAAAAATTTAACCGTTCCCAACGGTAAAGAAGGCAACCAATGACATTCGTCCTCCAAGCGCTCCCGTGTAAAACCATAGTGTGGCCCTAGCGGCACCCAAACCGCAGTCTAGGTTCGGTGTTCCAGCCGACGTGACACATAAGGTGCGATCTCAACCGCATCCACTTCCATCGGTCTAAAAGTCTTAAACGCGGGGAATGAGTGTGATGTATTATTTTTTTCAAAAACCGCACACAAATCTTATAGATCGACGCATTTTTAAAATTGTACGGCTTGTTTTTTATATTTGGGTTTGATTCTTCCATGTGTGTGTGTGTGTGTGTGTACGTGTGTGTGTGTGTGTATATATATATATATATATATATATATATATATATATATATATATATATATATATATATATATATATATATGGGAAAAGTTACTATACCCGTAAGGGTATATAAGCTTAGGTACCCAAACTCACTATACGCCATTTTATATTATATAATACATTCTAATTGTTCGGTATTCTTATAAATTAATTTTTAACTTGATTTACTTCTATATATATATATATATATATATATATATATATATATATATATATAATATATATATATATATATATTAAATTAAGGAAATTTACATTTTCAAATTAAGGAAAATCCTAGAAAAACTCAATCTTTTATCCACCAATGCTCGAAAAAACCATTATATTATTTTTGTGTAAAATAAAACGAATTTATTTGTCGATCATGCCTAAACTAATGCTTCGTTACCAGAAAACCTTTGATAGTCGGTTACGTAACATTTTTTACATTAGAAAAACCCAACATATTAAACTTCAATGCTCGAGAAAACCATTATGTTATTTTTTGTACAAAAAAAACATTTTGTTTTCTGATTATGTACAATAAAACTCTTTTATGTTATGATTTTGTAAAATAAAACATGTATTTCTCCTGTTATGCCCACATGTGGTATGTTAGGTTTGGTGGTTCTAGATGCTACCTCATTTGCTTTTGTTTACTTAAGGGCTCAATCATGAGTGTTGCAATAACATATCTTACGGGATAGTATCATATGTGGTGTGGATTTTGATTATGCTTGTGCATTGACTTCTCTACGGGATATCTTACGGGATAGTATCATATCTTACGGGATAGTATCATATGTGGTGTGGGTTTAGTTTCATTAGTGGTGGCAGGTTTCTTCTCCACGATGAATGTGTCGTTAACGAGTCATCGGATTGTTTCTGTACTTAATGATTTGGGCCAGTTTTTTTTATGCCTGGCTTGACCTGGTCTGGCTAACCTTCTTTTAGTCCGGACACGATCGGACCAACTTGATCTACAACTTATTTTTTTTATATTAGTAATCTCTTTGTAAATTCTTGTGTTTAAAATTTGTAGTTTTTTTCTTGAAAACAAGAAAAAAAAAATTGATAATTAAGTATTACTGATTTTTCTTTGAAGCAACAAATATTAAAACAAACTCGATTTTTTTAATGACATTAGTCATTTATTAATGTTTAAAACAACCAACACATATTGTGATGATGTGATCATCAGAAAACAAATTAAACATGCACCAACCGAAACAAAATATCATATACTAATTGACGACATATTATATTAATCTTACAAGTCTTTTTGTACTTCAGCTATCACTTTAATTTATGATTTAAAAAAATTAACTCCATTTTAAAAACATGACCATTAGTGATTAAAAAAACTATTGGGTCCAAACTGAAACTTTAAAAAGTTATATAGTCGGCCGGATTCAACAATCAACACTAAACATTGTTTTTGCCATTATAATATTACTTTATCGACCTCACTTTGTTTCTTTATCATATCAGTTCACCAACTTTGACTAATCACCAAACCTTAAGTAAATTTATCCACTTGTCCACTCTTCTTTACCATAAAGAACGACTTAAAGAGATTCTCAATATAATAAATATTGTTAAACCAATGATTTTAGACAAAAATAAAACTCAAGGTTATTATTATTATTATTATTATTATTATTATTATTATTATTATTATTATTATTAATAAGCAAACCACTCAAGCGGAGAGCCAAGCCGTTTCTAGCCAAATATGTAATTCCGTTCAAAACTAACTATTTTATGACATTTAAAAGTAATCGTAATTGTAATATCTTGCAATACTAAGGTGACAGTTTGTTTTTTTTTGCATCACGCAAACCGTGGACAGACATTGACTTTCGCAAATTGTTTGTTTTTTAGAAAACTGTAGATCTAAAAAGGTTAACGCGTCATCTTTCTAGTACAGATATAGATTAGAGTCTTCTAATATCTTTTCATATCTTATAACCTAAAAAACAATTATACAAATGTCTTTTTTGTGTTATTCAAATGCCTCTTTTTTTTCCGGATGTTTTTTTTGAAACATTTCCAAACATTAATAATGCATTTCTTTATAATATTTTTCCATTTTAACTATAACGAACTAAATAAATATCAAATATATCCATTAATTCATTATATATATATATATATATATATATATATATATATATATATATATATATATATAAATATAATAACTCACTGCTTAAAACAACTAATTGTTATATGGTCATTAAAATACAAATTAATTTAGACATACATATTAATTAAATTCAAAAAATGAGTTTCCACAAAGGGTATGTGTGGTTTTAATATTAAATCTCTTAAATGAATAGAAATTGAAAAAGAATTTGAAATTTGATCGGACCTTTTGGAATTATAAAAATAACATTATTTAAATTTCAATATTAAATAACTTTTCAAGTTTAAAAAATCGGTTTATTTTAGTAGTTTGTAACATTAAAAAAGAAACAATTATTTTTATACTATATAGACATTTGGTTCATTCCTTCTAGACTTCTACTGCATAAGTCTACAGTGTGCAAATGCAAACTGTATATATATTTTTCATGTGAAAAAAAACTCTCCATTTTCCAGTAAGTATAAATTGAAAAAAATAAAGCTTCATACAAAAGTCATAACCTCTTATTTTCTTTTCTTATATTATATCGTTGTTTTTAATATCTTTTCTTATTAAAACTATTCGTGCGTTAAAGTTCTAGAGCAAATGTCAATGTTTTTTTTGGGAATATTACTTATTAATGTAATTAATTTTTCAGTTTGTTCATATGTAAATAACTATTTTTTTATATATCTAGATAAAAAAACTTGTAGGAAGTGTTAACATGTAACAATTATAATATGGTGTAGCATGTTACATCCGACTACAACATGTCATAATTGTCATATGTAAAAACTTTCAACAAGTTCTTTATTTAAATATGTACAAAAAAATAGTTAGCCACATATTAACAAAACAAAATATAAGGGTAAATTACACGAATGGTGCTTGTGGTTTGGGGGAATATATGTGTTTGCTCCTTAATTTTTTCTTTCAACTTAGATGATCCCTAGTGTTTATTTTTGTTGCGCGTTCGGTCACTGTCTTACCTAAAAAGACTATTGTACCCTTAGTAATTTATTTATTTTAATTAAT